TGAAGCTGCTGGCAGTATCGGCGGTGCCTTTTTGCAGGGGGTGCACCATCACGCGCAGGGGGTGCATGTGCACCCGCATGTACCCCCTATGCATTGCCCCTGAACTGGTTTAAACCTGTAACAGAACAACTGTTCAGTGCATATCAACCAATTTGAAAATGGTTGAAACCGGTTTGAAATAATATGGTTGAATGTAGTATCAGACTTAATTGCTTTGGCTCAACTGGTTTATGCAACATCTGTCCCAGACCCCTTGCTGGTTTATCACGGCATACTCTCTGGGGTGGGTGGGGCTCCCTGTTCCACAGCAGAGATGGCCCCTCCCCTTTGCTCCATGGCTGGAGCTCCAGCAGAGACTGCAGGTACAGCAGGGTATGTCTGGCTTCCCCCTGCCCTACTCCACCCTCCCTCCTTCCTATCTTCCACAGCACAGACCATAGCCCCACGAACCCTAGGCATGTGGTATGCTGACTAATGCTAAGAGGTGTCTGTTGTTCTCTCCACAATTTCACTGGGACAGGCAGACAGAACAGTGACTGCATAGGGCTACTTAGAGCTAATCAACCATTCAACAGGTAAGCTGTTTAAGAAGAGTTTGAACAGAGGGGCGCCACTGCCCTTGCCCCAACCCGGCCCTCCTCCTAGGAGGCGGTAGCACAGGGTGGTGGGTGGCAGCTCCGCTGTGTATGCTGGTCTCCAGTTTCACTGGGACAGGCAGATAGAACAGTGACCACTTACGGCTTTCTGAAGCTAATCAACAGGTCAGCTGTTAAACTGTTTAAGAAAAGTTTGAACTAATGGACAGAGGCTATTGTTTTGCTGATTAGGTGATAAATACTGTTATCAGTCGCCTGCTGGCTTGCGTGCCTGCCAGTTTGCTGCAGACAATATAGAGAAGCAGGGAAGGAGATTGAAAAGCTCCATATCATCAACAGATGCATGCACTGCACGCCCTCACCCCCCCTTGCCTCAGAGTACTAGCCACAGGCTGGGGTCTGTGAACACTCCCGCCCCTTGAGCATCCACTGAGGAAAAGCCTGGAATGATGCAGGCAGACCTCCCTAATCAGAGGTCCTAACGGGGCCTGGCCACACCTCCCCCCCCAGCGCTATGGAAGGAAAGGGAGGGCTGCTCTAGCACCACCACCCCGGCTCCTAGCCTGAGCCACTGCAGGAATGTGCCTGAATTTTCCTCAGTCCAGAGAGAATGCCTGTCCAGTTACAAACTGGTTCAGCCTAGCCAGGTTAGACTAACCTGTAAACATTGAATCAATTCAGGCTTAGGCTTTTTGAATGTCTGTCCCTAGCCTTAATGTGTGCTTAAGTTCCACTGATTTTAAAGTTAAGCATACACATAACTGTTTTCATTAACAGAGACTGCTTTCTTGTACAGGGTTGTACATCCTTCAAAAATATAGATGAAATAATGCTGTTTAAATCATTATCTTTGACCAATGTTCTCAAATGGAAACAAAACAGTAGGATGCATCAGCTCCAGTTCATAAGAGAAAGCCATGCTGCACAGCCAGGAATAGAACCCAAGGGCATCTATGCATGTGCTCCAGGAGGCACAGGGCACTTTAATTAGAGCAACTCATTGAATGAGCTTTAAAGTGCCCCCACCTCCATTTTTCAGTGTGGGGACACTGATGCACATTATGCTGGAGTCTGCTAGAACACAGTAATTACCACACTCCAGAAGACTCAATTAATCAAGTCTGCTTCAACGCACTGTAATCACAGTGCATCGGAGCAGCTTCAACACGTGTATAGGCGCCCCATGTTTCCTTCTTTCTAATGCCCGGCTCTAACCAGCAGGTCACTGTCTCCTCACCAGGTATCCATGCTTCTGCTGAAATGTGACCAGTATAGCACCAAGAGCTTCAGAGATGTAAACATTTAAATCTTGGTGAAAGGTAATAAATTCTTAAGAGAACAAGTCACGAGTTTCTCATCTTGAAGGTGCCTGTACATCCTTCTTGCATTCTCCGACTCTTTACCAAAATCCT